AATCGTAAGTATGTATAAAGCACAATAAGCCATAAATCAAAATGAAAAATTCAGCTTTCATAATGACACTGACGTAACGCAAAAGCAGACACGCACTACAGTGACTCTATACAAGACAGTGGCAAGAATTGAGCCCGTCCGCTATATTTTTCAGAATTTTAGCAGTATGAAATTTCATTTAATTGCTTCCATAAATAAGAAAGTTGGCACTGCACATCCTACACAAAACCAAATTTGGAAAATGGCGCTACATTTGCTTTTATTCCAAGTGGCTATGTATCAAATTTCATTTGAATGTCTCCATAAATAAGAAAGTTGGCACTGCGCATGCGCAAAACCAAATAAGAAAGTTTGCAATCCGGTTTGTAAATGGTCGAGATGCGCCTAGGGCACTGTGAATGCTGATCGATTAGGCTCAACTTTTGGAATTGTGTTTTATATGGCTAAAGCTATGCGCATATTGAATTTCATGCTATTCCGTTCATAACTAACGGAGATATCAAAAGGCCTTTTTTTATTTTTTGGTCTACATTGCCAATTCACCAACTCCGATCTACAAATTTGATAAAGAATCCACCTGCAAAATTTCATCGTATTCGGTCCATTCATTTATGAGTTATCGTGCTAACGGACGGACGGACGGACTCACCGCAAAATTATAAACTCGCTAGGAGCTCGTTAATAAAGTGATTGTGCTTGCATACACAGGAGCGAAGCTTGCAGATTAATTTGACTCAAACACGGGAAAGCCCACTAGGCCCGGATACCGGAAGGATTAACAGATTGAGGGATCTTTCTTGATTCGGTGGGTGGTGCAGGGCCGTTCATAGTTAGCCGAAAAAACGCACGATCGAACGCTTCGCGCGTAATCGCCGTGGTCATACTTGCGAACCTCCGAACGATTTAGCGACGCCCGTTGACCCACCGTCGACGGACGCGTGGGAAAGTCGACCGAACTTGATCGTATAGAGCTACAGTGTCTTCAACGTGTGTACGCGTTTACTCAGAATTTTTACCATCACTCTTTGCTCTTTTGGGCAATTAAAAAATTGCTTTTTTGGAAACCGGCGTGGGAAATGTTTGCATCTCAGTTTCTAAAAACAAAAATGGTATTAATGAGATCTAGTGTACGCCATAATTGGAACATACGCCCATTGGACGTACATTGTAATTATTTTATGGACCGCCTGTTAAATATTCCATAAGAGGGAATAATTGAACGTCCACTGTACGTACACTTTTGCTACATGGACGTCGTAACCTAAAATGGATCAAATGTGGACGTCCAATGTAAGGAACCTCGAGGTTTGAGTACGTTCGCATCAACCTGATAGGACCAATTCCGGTATCGCAAGGAAAAAGATACTTTATTACAAAACATCGAAGCTGACACCGTTGCCCAAGCGTTCCCAGCACTCTGGATCGTCCGACTCGGGTCACCGGTTCCAGCAACCACGGACCAAGGAAGACAATTTGTATCTCGCCTGTTTCAATGGTTACAATATGTAGCAGGTTTCAAAAGAGCCCACACAACGGCACCACCCACAGCCGACATGTGCCACGGAAAACAGGAATAGACAGAAGTTCTACCTGTGTACTTCTATGGATTCAGGCAGCACGAATAGAAGACCTCACGCACAGAATTGGTCTACGGTAAAGGTCTACGGTTACTTGGTGAAGGGTACAGCTCCAGAGGTACTTCGATAAACTAAGATTCACATTGCATGGTTGAAGGGGTATTTGTATGTGAATATTAAGACTGGAAAGATTCGTAGTCCTTTGATTATGGCTTTTGTTATTCAAGTGTGAAGCTAAATCTAACAAGGCAACGAAGATATTTATTGCAAAAACGTTCAAGCTATGACATAATTGGTCGTACATCATTCAGAAACCGCTTCTACAGTACATAAGAGGAGTTCATATGCTTGCTCACAAAGACGCTTTTCTGTTTCGACTTTATCTTCACATTTCTTTGCCGCTTCTAAATTTCCAAAACTAAACTTTTTTGCCAATTCTTCAACATTGACGTGTCCTTCCGCGTCAATAACACCAGCCTCGTTGTACAAACATTTCATGTAACAATAAAACTTCTGATCTTTGGGAAATTCTAAGTACTTCATCCTATCTGCGTAAACAGGATCAACGTTTGACTCCAATTTGCATTTCTCAACGTGCGGTTGGATCGCGTTTTCCCACTTTTCTATCTTTTCGGGGCTCACCTGAAGCAAAATAAAAAAACTGTACATCGAAACTGTACACTTAGGTATTTGAATTATCCCAGATCAGAGGCGAACAATTGAATTATATGAAAGGTTGTCAATTATCATCTTCATCTGGATTACAAATGGTAATGCTAAATGATGAAAAATTAGCGACTTACTTAATCTTAGGTTTAATTTGTTATGGTACTTACATTTATGGCAGCGGTCATTGAGACCAACAGCAGGGTGAATAGGACAATGCACTTCATTTTTGATGCTCTTTATTCACGTTTCGAATGGTATATGGAAATTTTCCAATTGTTAACTTATATACTTACGTATTCCTTAAATAGCATCAAAGTTATGAAACACCTAATGAAAAATATGGCCTATCTGTAAGTGTATGACCTTTGTGGCTTTTAAAAATGATTAATTTGTTGAAGTATCTTGTATTTGCCTAATTAATACATTTCTTTGAATAATAACTGACTTATGTACGCAAGCACAATACCTTTGGACGGTATAGGAATGAGAGAACGCCTTTCGGTGCGGTCGCACTAATGGTTGTTTGCAACGACAAATGTAATCAAGGTTAAAGTTGACATCTTTTAATATTCATGGTACCTATAGTAGTGGTGTCATATTGACGTTGTTACTAGTCAAGCTTCCTTTTATTTATTTTTTGTGAATAGGGAATATGCATGTGGTTTAAATTTACTTGATTCTTTCTCCAGCAAATATTTATTGTCCTGACATTATACTTAAACCATTAGTTTCTTATTTAGTTTGTTTTTAATTGCTAAAAATGGTAATTCAAAAGTGCAAAATAAGCGAACGAAATTCAAATTTGCGAAAGGCTTCACTATTGGACGAATGAAAATGACGTCAAATGCCACGCGATCGCATTTGTTGTGTCATATTCATAAGTGCTTAGTGCAGTCAAATTTCAGTTTGGGCAGATTGAGCTTGGGTGTTGTCATTTCACTCAACGAAATCAAGTGTCTTCTATGTAAAAAGATCCCCTGAATCCGAAAACCATAGTCCCCCTAGCCGAAAACTCCCGGAATAGGTATAATGTTATGTATAAACAAAAAACGATGAAAAAATGGCAAGATGTCGTTTCTTTTCGCATTTGACTTCAATTATCTCGTTAACTATTACTCTAAAGGAAAAAATGAAGAGAAATGAATTGGTTTAGAATTGAATTTTCTATAAGATACAATGGGTATGAAACGTTCATTTTCAAATGTTATTGTTTTTTTATGGAAAAATATAAAAAAGCAATCCCGAAGATGATCAATTGGTTATTACTATGTAAAATTCATCCGATCATTTTGAAAATCCGTATTTGGTGACTTCTTTTGATAACAAAACAATATGACAAACCCGATCACCGTAAATTTGATAGTTATTGCATAATTAAATAAACAAATTTACAAAACGATACTTGGTCTTTTAGACTGGGCGACTCCCAGAGCGTTCTACATTTGTTTCCAGATGGTGGAATCCTAAGACAACCATTTCCAAAAATTGTCCCGATGATTCTTGCAAATTGATGGACGTTACCTTTTGGTAGGTAAAGTTCCTGGAAGCGAATTTTAGAGGAGCAAATACCCCAGGGCCTTTATTCTTGAGTTCATAGGACTAGAATTAGTGAGAGAAAGAGGACGGAATTTTCTCGTAAAACTAAATAACCTCTTCTTGATTAGTTTTTAGGGAGAAATCCGCCCTCTTTCTCTCACTAATGCTATTCCTATGAACTCAATAATAAGGGCCTAGGTGTGATGAGAATAAACATTGTAGATGATTTAATAACTTTCATTTAATATAACATTTTACCCTATGATGAACCGTTTTCAATACACAAGCGAAAAACTCAAAAAATTGTAGCTCCCCCACCCCCACACCTCGGCTCGCCACCTAGGCATTAGTATGTTCATTACTTAAGCACTCTGAATTTTCGATATCATTCCATTTGAAGTTTTAGAACAATTTTAATGTTTGCTGTGTTCGTGATGAGTATTTCCTTTGATTTCGTCCTTATTATGTGGCCAACCAGTGATTCAGAGTTTTCTCCTCTATGTTGTTACCGTTTTGGACTTGGCCGAATATGTTTTCAACCCTCAGTCATGTGGGTGTACCATGCTCCTAAAGCTCGCTGCCGTTCCCGTTGTCATGTTCTTGCTTGATAGTTTTGCCTATACTGCATTCCTCCTCTTCACTTCCGTCCAGTCTGGTTCTATTGTTTTAGCCTAAAATTTTAAGGAGGGTAAGAAATAAGAACCATTTTGCTCAAAGGTAAAGAAAGAACACATATAGAAACATATACAAATGGAATGTATAGAATTTAGGAAAAATCCAAACTACTGGTTTGATCATCGATGACTGGCTTTAGCATATGGTGTTTATGTACTAATTTTAGTACCTAATCCAGGTACCAAATACTCCACGCGATATGGAAACGTAGCTATAATATGAATAATAATAAATCACTGAATATACATGTTTGCAACAATGTTAATTTCTAGACATTCTTTTCTGTGCAAATGGGCTGAATATTTTACTCATATTCGCATGTAATCTGTATGTTATATTATGTCACGTCGCAGTAGCTGAGTTACTACGGTGCAAGACGTAGCTCATATATAAACTCAAACCTTGAAACAGAACAGTGATTTCCTAGGTTACGA